ATGCTTTACTCATGATAGTCTATGACTGGTGGTCCAGCACAGTACAGTAATACCACCCAGTCTGCCTCTACGTGGTTTTATGGAACACCTAATTTTTACAGAGCCTGTTGCAACCAAGATAAAGTATACTGAATTAGTGATTGCTAGTGAGGAAGGACCTGTCTGGGTATAGGAGGATGTAGATACAATAATAAAGTGTTCTGTCCCATGCAGCACAAACATTTCTGACCGGCAATGGCCACAGGCCAGCAGCAACAAAAAATAAACCTTGAGGGAAAGTTGATATATGGTACATGAGGCTAAGAGCTCAAACAGATGTTGAGAAAGAGCATCTAATACCACCTTAATATCCCATTAAGGTAACTAAAACAGTTGTTTGGGACTCAAATAATTTTTGTCTCTTCAAATATCCAAAGGTAATTGATAAGGCCATCTTACGTAAGGCGACTATGGAAGATGCGAAACCCTTGTCAAAGAGCCAAGTCAAAAATGAATTATGGTTAGCACTTCTGGACGAAGTGGGTTCAACATCCTCGCAATACATTAATGTCAAAGTACCATTTCTCTTGATAAATGTCCATCATAGGACTATGCAAACACTGAAACAGATACATGGGAACATTAGAAGTTAAACCCAGACACCGCATGAAGGACAGCATAACCACCATGCAGGAAGCTTGAGCTTCAGGATAGTTGGGTGTATGATGTTAGATTGTGGTTGCTTCAACAGAGATGGTCATATAGGAAGTGGAAGAGGTGGGCACTCCTGAAGGTACTGCAGAAGTGGAAACCAGGATTGAGCTAGCTATTCTGATGCTATCAACAGAACTCAACATGGGGTTCAATGAATCATAGCTAGTACTCTGGGTAACATATGAATTGGTGGGAAGGCATAGAGGTGCAATCCTGTCCAGTCCTGACTGAATGCATCTATTGCCAATGCCCGAGGGTGAAGTACCAGAGACCAAAATGCAAGTATTTGAATGTTCCATAGAGTAGCAAACACAGTGTCCTGAACTGAGAGCAAGTCCAGTAGAAAGCCTCATAATGCAGCATCTATTGTGTTGGGAAAATCTGGTTGAGTCGAGACAATTGGTCTGCCACCAAATTCATCAACCCCAGAACATGGCAAGCTAGTAGAATGATATGATGGGAGTGGGTCCAATAAAGAAGGTCCAAGGTTCAAAAACAAAGAAACCTGGACCAAGTGCCCACTTAATTGGAAATGTAAGACACCACCGTGGAATCGTCGAAGTGAAGCATGATGATTTTCCCCTCAATAAGTCCAAATATTGAGACGTCAGCCTTTGAACAGAAAGAAGCTCTAAAACATTGCATAGGGAAGCCTTGTCGTTCGTCCATAGGCTCTGTAATTCCTGACCATTGAGATATGCACCCCATTCCTGAAACAAGGCATCTGTGAATAAATGGATCTCTGGACAAGATGGTGACAGAGGAACACCTATTGTGGTATTGTTCTAATCTAACCACCACTGGAGATCAAAGATGTTGATCCTGAATAAGGAGACTGGGGAATCCAGTGAATCACTGTTCATGATCCATTGGCTGCATAGAGACCATTGAAGGGACTACATGTGGACTCATCCCAAAGGAATGAGGGATTTGAGTGATGCTCACATCTTCAAAAGGGAAAGAACCATCTGCCCAGTGGGAAAATGAGAGGTAACAGATGTTACTATCTGTTCCATAGCTTGGAGCCGGATGGGAGTTGACTGAGACCAACTAAGATGTGTGTTGAAAAAGATACCCAGATGGACAATATATTGAGTAGGCGTGAGAATAGATTTCTCAGCTCTGATAATAAAGCCTGCCTTGGTTGCTTCTAAAAGTAGAATCTGGATACAACATTCTGCCAACCGACAAGAAGGTGCCAGCAGTAATCAGTCATCCATGTAATGGTGTGTACACAGGCCAAGAGAATGGAGGTGATGAAAAAGCTTGGACAATTTGGCAGAACACATATGGTGCCAATGCTAGTCCTAAGGGCAGAGCCCAAAACTGCAGCACCTGACCCTTGTGAACAAAATGATGATAGTGGAGGGACACCTCCACTATGGGAACATGCAGGTAGGTGTCGGCGACATCGAACTTGGTCATGCACAGTCTCAGTTAAAAAATGCCAAAGCTGAGTGAGGAATGACTTCGTCATGAACCCTGGAGGATCTAGGAATGAATTTAGATGAAAAAGATCGATGACTGGAAGCCGATTTCCCATCTTTTTGGGCAAAACAAACAGATGGGAATAAAACCCTGGAGGAACTGGGATAACTCTCTCCACTGGCCTTTGACTAACAAATCTCTGATAGCCCTAGAATGAAGTTCCAAAATCCGAGGATCTGCAGGAGGCAGAAACATGTGAACTGAATGACTAATTCTAATGTAAGGACCCATAGTATTCATGGATCCAGGGTAAAGTTTTTCCACACATCCAGAAATTCTCAAAGCCAAGCCCCAGAAACCCCAAAGGCATATGGTAGTCACTGCTGCCTCTGGCAATGTTCTGACTAAGCAGAGGAACCTTGTGGATATGGATGGAATCTATTCTCGGTACCAATGGAAAATCGAGAAGCCAATGATGACAGGGATGAATGTAGACTCTGAAATGCCCACAAAAGTCAAGAAAGGGGGCCTCACGTAATTTACAGCGGGTGGTAGCTGGTAGATGAATGCCCTGCAACAACACATCTCTACCTAACAAATCCCAATAACACACCAGCCAAGAGACTAGGGAAGGTGCAGCAGCTGACAACTGAACCAAGGTAGTTGCTAACAATGGTTCCACTTGTCATCAAGTTGATGTGGTGATTGCTGAGAAGCTTCTGACAAAAGTCGGGGAGATGATAAATAACTTAGCACCATAATTAGGGTCAGATGAATCCTAGAAAATTGTGATCTATTCAGGATGACCACAGACTCCATTCTAGAACCCCAAATTTCCAGAAGCGGGTCTATTTGCTGAGAGTCTAAATATGCATCCACCTGGTGATGGTAGGCATGTTGTTCTGACAAACGTGGTGAACAAGGCATAGCTGTCCCTTCATGTGACTGAGTAGTAAATCTCCATGCATGAACTGCAATATCAGGGGATATAAGGAGAACTAAGTATTTGCCCTCAGATCTATCTACCATCTCCTTGACACAGACTCAAAAGCAACCAGGGAAAGACCCGAAACATCACACATTTGATTGATCAACTGAAGAAAAGGACCCTGAGGTGCCTGATTACAATTAGGCCTACTGGAAAGCTGACAGAATAAAGAATGACACTGGAAAAAGTGAATCTAAATTCTCTCCAGAATGTCCAGGATCACCCGCAAGTACAGCCTCAGAACTTCCTGGAGAAACACCACTGGACCAAAGACATGTCTCTATCTCACTACAAATAAGGTGACGGACAGCCACAACTAAGGAATTCATACTGTATATAAGCTTGCCAAATGATATTTTTACAAAAATCAACTATCTAACACAAAGAATGCTCATAGTATCTCCAACAGTCATAGTACAGAGAAACCCATTGGCGAATGCTTTGTCAAAAAAAAGTGATAATATCTGAGGTGCTTGTATATACAGTATTATGATAGAGGGCACATTAACATAGGTGGAGAGTGTCACGAGACAGATATCACCAAGGGCAATTAAGTGGGGAATAAAAGACTGGAGCAAGCAAGAAAAAAATCAGACAAATGGGCAAAAGAAGGAAACTCTAGCAGTCAAGTAATAGCTGTAGTGTGAATACTGGATGGAAGCCATCATTATAATGTAGATACCAAACTTATAACATTGCATGCTTGATGTACTTAAACTGTTCTTTATCTTTGTGTTTTGACGCAGACTATTAAATGTGCATGTACACTTTTTAGGATACTTATGCAATTATTATGAGAGACTAATTTCAGACACATTGTTTGGCATAGTGAGGGAAAGACTTCTTGAAGTGACACAAGATGATATTCTATGTCAAATGGTCAGAGAACTAATTAGAGGGGATACAATTTGAAATTTATTAATAACCACTAACAAGGATGTGTTTGTAAGAGTTAATAAGGGGTAGGCAAACAATGACTTATAAGCACAAGGAAAAATTTTACTGATGATGAATCGCTTAGTACTGATCATACTGAAGAAGACAGACAAATGTTCTGTAAAAACATGTAGTATATTCCACCATCAATAAAACTTTTCCTTATGCTTATATATTGTTGTTTGCCTCTCTATTGTTATATTAGCATATCGTGCTTCCTTACTCAAATTTCAAACACTGAAACTGAGAAACTTTTGGGACAGAGTAATCATTACATAATTAGGTCTGGTGTTTTGCTAAATGTTGAGATAAAATAAATGAAATTTTAGTTCCTAATTTTTAGAAATCTGATTTTATAGTAATGAGACAAGGTTTAACATTAGTAAACTGGGATGATGAGTTCAATGGTAATGTAGGATAAACCTGGGAAATGTTTAAAAATAAACTGCTTTGAATTCAAGATAGGGATTTTCTAAAAAAACAGGAAAAGGATAACAGGGAAGATCAAACCTAACTGTCTGACTAAAAACACAAAAGGAGAAAATGAAAGAGTGACTTACAGAATTATAGGAAACCTGCGAGTCTGGTTCAAAGACAAATTAGGAAAACCAAAAGTGCTTATGAGAAGAGCATGGATTTTTTTAAGTATGTTAAAGGTAAGCAAAATTTTAAAATGCATATTGGGCTCTTAAAGGATGCTGATGGCAAAGCTTTAGTTCAAGATCATCAGCTGGCTGACTTTAAAATGTGTTCTTTGCTTCTGTTTTTATAAGAGATGGTACAATACTCCTGACACTGAGCATTCTAAGAGACATACTAGGAATGATCTAAATGTGTAGATACTAGTCCTTTAATGTAATAAAAAAAAAAGATTGATAAATTATAAATAAAGCACCAGGACCAAACAATGTTTTTCTCATGGTTTTAAAAGGGGTCAAAGATGAGATTTGTGAGCCTTTCTTTTTTACTTTTTGTATGGCAATACGGTGGACAGGTGCCCAGGAAAGGGAGAAATGCTAATGTTACTCCTGTTTTGAAAAAGGATGATAAGAATTACCCTGGAAATTATAGACCTGTTACTGAAACATGACAGCATAAAAGAAAATCAACATGCCAGGTTTACTAAAAGAAAATATTCTCTAACTAATCAGTTACTTCTTGTTGATGATATTACATTATCTGGATAGTGGAAATGATATAGACTTGGTGTGCTTATATTTTCAAATTGTTTTTGAACAGGTGCAACACAAAATATTACCTCAGAAAATCACATTAATTGGGGTTGAAGAGACAGTATATTGAATGGTAGGATGATTAGATAGGAGAAAGCAAAAAGTTATTGTTAATGGAATCCAGTCAAAATGAACCCTCGTTTCTAGTGATGTGCCTGAGGAGTCTGTGAATGGATCTTTGCTTAATTTGGAAATTGATAAACTTTACAAATAGCATTAAACTGTTGAGATACTACAGAACAAATGAGATCAACTAGTTCATTGGACAAATATTTGATAAATTACCTTTAATTATATTAAGTGCAGGATAATACATTTGGGTTATGATTAGGATCACACATTTAATATAGATGAGAACATATTCATTAGTGTGGCTAAAGAAAAGGATTTTGGCATAGTGGTAGATTAGCCACTCATACCATTGAAGCAATGCTCCATTGTTAGTACTAGTAGCAACACTTACAAAATGTTAGAGTGTATTTTACACATACTGATTAAAAAAACAAAAGTCAAAAGAAACAATTACCTCTTTATACAAATTCAGGGCTATACATTAACTTTTAAAATACTACCTTGAAGCTAATGACTTTATTAGGTCACTATCTCAGGCCTAGGTCCACAAAAATTGTTTTACTTATAAAACAATACAAACACAAAACAACTACAAATACACATAGAAAAGCATTATAAAATGTTCAAAATCTAAATACTTTTAAATAATTATTAAACAATATATCATCTCTTTAGTAAATAATTAAGTATATTAAATACTGCAGGTACATATATTCAAAGATGTTTTAGAATGGCACAACACTATACTTGCAGTCTTTGAAACAACAAACTGAGCAGTATAGTGATGTCAATCTGTAAAGAAAGAAAATAATTTTTAGATTGGCTATTAAGTTAGTTCCTTTTCTGCTTTTGGTAATACACAATTTGAGTATGCTGATTTTGAGAAATGAATATCACCATTTTACTGTGAAGAAGCAACAAATGTGAAAGTACATCTAAATATCAATTTAAATATAAAAGTTAAAACAGCTACCCAATATAGATCAAATAGCCCCCATTAGACTAGCGTGACACGTTGGCAACTTGTAGAAATACATTTCTTATTTGTCCTCAGCTAACATTAATGTTGAACCCTACCCAGGCATCGATTTTGGTCTTTTTATCTACAAAATAACGTCTTACTGAAAACAGAAAATGGTTCAAAGGAGGGCTACTAAAAATAAGATGACTTCAGGGATGGAAACTGTATCTTATGGGGCTAGGTAAGGTCAGTTAATTCCTCCTCTCTTTAGAAAAAAAACTGGTAAAACTAGAAGAACGGATGTTTTGAAGTTTACAAGATTACTCGGGAGATCAACAGGAAAAAAGACCTGCGATCTCATTAAAATTAAATCATTTAAATTTTAATAACCCAGCTATAGTATATTCTGAAAGTGAAAACATTAGGGCGAGAAGGAACACGTTAAAGATTTAGAAAAATAGGTTAGGCTCCAATGGTGGAAACCGCTAAAAGAATTTTAAGAATAAGACTCAGATTGTTAGACTGGTTACATATTCGACTTAAAGTTAAATAAACAAATTTCTTCTATACTTTCTCACCTTCTTCAGGACACCAGCCATTTTTCCCTACGCCCTCTAGTTCAAGCATGTTATTAAATTTTAGTGCTTCATTGTATTTTATAACAAAATGCCTGTCTCGTCTTATAATATATAATGAATGATAAAAGTTACATAGACTTGATGCACCTAATTTATTTATTAAACTTGCAATTTATGTTAGTCTTCATAACAAAAAGTTTATAACTTGAATCTTGAAGCTATTTTAAGTAGAAGTCCTAGGGCCATTTTTTACCCAGTAAACATTTCCGGATAAATTATAACAACGACATAACTGAGTGTAATGTTAAACCATGTTTGGCACTATCTTTGAAGAACATAAAATTTTCTGGTTTTGTGATAAATGCGTTAGATTCATTTTTTTTAAAACTTTGAGTTTAAGACAACATTATCATCAACTTTACAATCAGCTTCTTTCATTCACAGGTAAAAAATGCGTAAAATGTGGGTAGAACGGGTTAATTATGCAGTCCAATAGTCTTAGAAGGACTGTATCCTTTGGACGAAAAAGTCAATGTTTCCAAGCTGTTGTAGTCCATAATAACCTATCTTCCCCGACGAAAACACGATCTAAAGCATCTATAAAAGTCTACCACAGAAACGTCTAACAGACGTTGTAAACGTTTTTAATATTGTTGTTTTACAATTCTAAGTAACAGGAAGTTACAGTTTTTAGTTATAATTTTAGGCAAACTTTACTCAGCGCATTCTCGATCACAAAAAAATATTTTATACCTCAGGTGTGGTATTCTCAGGTATTCAGATTTACCTTAGAGTATCGAGTGAGTTCCCCATAATAATAACTTGTTTGTTTTTGTTGAATTTCGTGCAAAACTACTTGAAGACTACCTGAGCTAACTGTCCTTAATTTTCAAGTGATAGACTAGAGAAAAGGCAGTTAATCAACACCACCCACCACCGACTCTTGGGCTATTATAGACTAACGAACAGTGGTATTGACCATCACATTAGAACGTGCTCAAGGCTGACAGAACGAGCACGTTCCATGATGGAATTCGACCGGTAAATTGTGAGTCAAGCTGCAGAATAATAGGAGGTTTGTTAGAACATGTATTAAGGAGCAAAATCTGAATTTTGCGACTTCTACTGAGTTGGAAGAAAAGAAAAAGACACTCCACAAGTTAGAATATAGTGAAACAATTTATTCTTTTCACCAAAAATAAATTCTTCTCAGAGCCCAACTATTACCCACGTGACGGAAGGTCATTCTAAAGACATTAGGCTAAATTCTCACTTCAAAATAAGGAAACCAGGTTGTAGCTTTGAAGTATCGGCTAACCCGCCAGTGGAAAAGATCACTGTAAATTTCGATATAGCATGCTTTACTTTAAAAGAACCTTACTCAAGAAAAAATGCGTGTGCCCCATTTCAGTAGGTAACTAGAACGAGAGAAAATTATTGACTCCATTGATGGACATTCTCTATTATGACTACATATACAACGTGTACAGGAATTTTGAAAGTTTATGTCAAATAAGCGGGTAAGAAACTTGTTGTGAAAAGTCCACTTAGGCCAATTCAATTGCTTTAGAATTCAGTTGACAAGCCGAACTATTTTTTCTGTATTTTTAACCCAATAGTATCAGTGTATAATTCACTTACACTGTCGCGTGAGTTACCGCAGTTGTATCCTGAACTTCCAATAATCGTCTGCTTTTTCGTGCTTCCAAATAACCATTAGTTCATAAAGTTGGGTTCATTTAGTTTAGAACACCCTTTGATGAGACAAATTATTATCCTTATATCTTTCAAAACTGTTAATCTCACTCTAACATACCAACTGTTAGGCCATGATAGAACTTGATCTTCACATTCGCCTTGTAGTCCATTCTGTTGAGTACTTTCTGTACTTCAAAAGGTCCTTTCCACTGCAGGGTGAGTTTGTTGTGGTCTAAGACCTTCTGTCTGACCTTGAAACATCAATCCTTGGCCTTCTTGTCATAGAAATGCTTCTGACTGCCTTGAGCTGCATATAAGCTCTGTCAAGCAAGTTGACAGTTCTCATCTGATTCTTCTTCTCCCATTCATAGCTCTTGCAATATTTGCATATCTTCTGTTAGCTGGGAGTCCTTGGAGATGTGAATAGATTCTGCAGGACATGTAACATCTGCCAAAGGGCAGTACTTAAGGGGAATGTAGCCAAGTTGCAAATGATATAGATGCCTCTCATAGAAGAGCCATTCAGCAGAGTAGGTGTGGACTTGATTCGACCACTAGTGCCTGTTTCTGACAAGGACAACCAGTATGTGCTGACAGTAGTCGACTATGTAACATGTTACCCAGAAGCCATAGCACTGGTGAAGATAGAGACATAGAGAGTAGCAGAAGTCCTCCTGGAAGTATTTTGCAGAATAGGCTTTCTGAGAGATATTCTCAGTGACATAGGGACCTAGTTTACTTCAGAACTGATGCAGGAATTGTACAGATTCATCAGTACCCAGCAGCTCTTTACCAATCCCAGATGTAATAGACTTTGTGAGAGAGTCAATGGAGTTTTAAAAAGCATGCTAAAGAAGACGTGCCAAGAGAGACCACGTGACTAGACAGGTACTTGCAGGCAGTATTATTTGTTTATCGAGAAGTCCCACAAGCATATACAGGATTTTCACCCTTCGAGTTACTGTATGGTAAAACAGTATGAGGTCTGAGAAGACACCTATGAACAAAGAAGACGGCAGACAGAATCATCAAGCCAGGCACCACCAAAGCTCAAGAAAAGAAGAGCAAACAAGATATCAAGCCTCTGCAAGTGTCAAATGGTGACATCCCAAATGTAGGTTTGTATGAACTGAAAAAGTACAGAAGAAAGACCCTTGACTGCCGAAACATTGGGACAATGCCCAGGAGAAAGTCGAGTACAAGACAAAGTGGAAAGACATTTATAACACAGAGGACCAGAAGAGAGGGCTATACCAGTTCTGTCAAGGCAGTTATACTGGGGAAGTTAAACAGATCATAATACCAACAGAATACTGGACTCAAGTGATGAAGTTGGCTCATGAATCAGTTGTGGAGACAATGGGTGCAGTAGTGCAGCAGTGAGAACTAGTCTAGTATCTGATGACTAGATGGTAGGCAAAATACATCCATTTATGGTAATTGATGGGACAGTGAGAAATGTTTCCATAGCAAAAAAGTTTATAGTTCCATATTATGTAGTAGACCTTGAGGCCATGTATTTGAAGGCACCAATATATGACTTGATGATTGGAAACATGCCAGGTAGTAGAAATTTGGAGGAACTAGAAAGAAAGAAAATTGATGAAGCATTTCGTAGAACTGGCACTGTTGATCCGTTTGCTAACTTGAGCCGACCATTAGTCATGCACTGATCAATCATGGAATTGGCACTTCCTTCTTGTGGTGAATCTGACATGTTTTCTTGATTCTGTTTCTTCTGACAGTAGCATCCATGGTGCCGTCACTCTTTTCTTGTTTCTTACCAGCATTATCTTTGTAAATAGCTTACAGTTGCTTTATATTGAGATTTCTCCTGTTGCTTGCTGGTAACAGCCCTGCAGTCCTTTGCAATGTGTCCCATTTTATAATAAACATAGCATCTCTTCTCCCTTCTGTCTATTAACCTCCTCTCACCTGTGGTAGACTCTTGCTTCTGGTCAGCTGTCACTGGTTTTGAAGTTAACTGGATACTCTTGGACTTGCCAGTTATACTCCCTCCATGGGCTTTCATATATTGTTCTGCCAGATTGATCATCTTGTCTATGTCTTTTGGTGATCTCTCCTTTAGGAACAGTGACAAGCCAGTTAAACACGTGATCATGTCCTGTTCTCTTACTAATAGGTCTTCTAGTCCCTCAAAACTATTTTCACACTTGGTCATGTCAGTAAATTTGGTGGAGTATCGCCATAGATGTGCCACAAACTGAAATACAGTTTCAGGTTTAACTTTTCTGAACTTCCAGCGAAAACCTTCTTGGGTAAATTCATATCATTTCAGCAAAGCAGCTTTTAACTTGTCATAGTCGATAATATCTTCTGACATCATGCCTGCATATTCTTGTAGGTCTTTTCCTGTGAGAAGTGAACTGAGACAGACTGCTCAGTCACCTTTTTCCCAGTTCTGATTTTGTGCGAATCTTCCATATCTCTCCAGGAAAGCATCCATGTTGTCTTTCTCTTCATCTAATTTGGGCAGCTTGGGTCAGCTGGCCCTGACTCCATTGTCATTCTTGGTTCTTCTTCTTTCGGTTGGTTGAGCTTTGCCACCTGAATTTTTGCTCTTACTCTCTCTATCTATTTCCACTCTTTTCTTCTCTCTCATTTTCTCCTTTCAATATTTCTTCCTCTCTTCTGTCTCTCCTCTTCTCTCTTCTGTCTCTCCTTTTCTCTCTTCACTGTCTTTTAATCCGAAATGTTGTCATCTTTCTATCATGGCTGTATTTTAAACACTACACTGTTCTCTTCTTGTTGTCAAAAGTCCACTTAGGTCAATTCAATTGCTTTAGAATTCAGTTGACAAGGCGAACTATTTTTTCTCTATTTTTATCGCAATAGTATCCATGTATAATTCACTTACGTTGCCGCTTGAGTTACCACAGTTGTATCCTGACCTTCCAGTCATCGTCTGCTTTTCGTTCTTTGAATAATTGTCTGCTCTTCGTACTTCCAAAAGTCGGCTTCCTTTTGTCAAAGTTCACACAGGCGGGTTCAATTAGTTTAGAACACCTTTTGACGAGACAAATTATTCTCCTTATCTCTTACAAAACTGTTAATCTCACTCTAACATATCAAATGTAGGGCCATTCACTCCTACGATGGTCAACTTTACGTTTTTGAACTGTTCTCAGACAGAAGTTCTCTTTCACGTGATTTTGCTTATACTCTTTTTTTGCTAGTCTGGTCACAGCCATTTATATGTCTATCACTTAGGCCTTCTAAAAATCTCCATAGCCTCTACATCACTAGATTGCACACAGTGTTCGATAGCCTCGACATCAATGAATTACAGACACAAAATTAATAAATTAATAATACTACCTACATTAAAGATATTTTATATCTGACA